AGGCCTGGCTTCTTCCGCTCTCTTTCCGAGGTTGCAGGCGGATCAAGGTGTCTCCGAGAAGTACCAGGAGGAGTTCTGCGGCGGTTGAAAGTTCCTATTCTGAGGTTTTGCGGTCTTAGGGTTCAATATTAACAGGTACGGCCTACTGTGCCTGCTCGATAGGTTGAGATAGTCGACTGCCTGTTTTGCCCGTTTGTCTGCCTGTTGCCCATGCGGTTGGTGACATGTGCAGTGCGAACATTGCTTAACAGGGGCAGTTCTCTGAACGATCGTCGCTTTAATGGGGATCTACAAACCAGTGCCGACATCTCGTCAAGAAAGGCACCGAAAACCAGCACCCGCACCCCATGTGTTCCTGGATCCTGCCTTGCTCATATCCGACCGGGTTCCAGGCGAGGGGATTTGGGTGAGTTACCATAGTGTGGATGAGTAGCAGAACGAGGCTTTCCTTTAGTTTGGTAACTTACATGACCTTCCTCAACTAAGAACCCTATATCGCACGTTTAGAGAAGTCTGTACTTGCCTACAGTAGAGCCATTAAAACCCTATGAAAGTAAAGTCTAAGCCTCTAAGCGCAGGGTACTGGTACCCCAAAAAACTTGGTATTTGTTGGGGTGTGTCCGGGCTTGTAAAAGGGCTTTGGAAAGTTCACGGGTTGCTATAGTGCCTTGGGTAGCGTGTAGCATAGCTGTGGGTACAGTTGCTCTAGGTATATTTACTTACTCAGTTCCTGATCCTTCGGATATGCACAAACTTTACGTTTCACTTTACAATGCACAAACAAACTAAAGGCGCCAATGAGCGGAAGGGAGTGCTTGTTATAGACCCCACTCCTGCTGCCCAAGCTCTATACACTCTAGGCTGCATTTCAGAGCTGTTGCTGTTGGCTCGCGGTTCAGGGTTTGCCGTGAGCGGGATTTGGAGGACCGGCGCCAGGCAGACACGCTGCATGGTTGCAGCTGTGATCTGGTGGTAAGGGTGTTAGCTCCGTGAGGACTGACTTGAATCTTTTCAAGTGTTTTTTTGCTAGACTCCGTAAATAATAGCAGCACAAGCATTAGTCATAGTCAGTCTAACCGTTTTCGTAGGAGTCAGGCCATAATTCAGATTGCGTTGACAATTCAGGGACCTCGGCCATCGAGTGCAGTACATCTGTTGACAGGGTGCCAGGACTACATCCAAAGGGGCCTTTAGACTCTAAACAAGCCCCACAACCCCCCCCAAAAAAAAGGCCTATAAGTCCAAGAAATCAAAAAGGGCACGAGCATCCTTGCTCTTCACTTCTGTTGCCCTCCGGATGTACCTATCAAAGACCTGATCTACTACTTTTTTTCGCCCTAAACCCCTAAACCCCTAAACCCTAAACACAAGCATGAGTCGCTAGACCCTGAAGGTTTTTCGACAAAGCAACGAGTATAGACTGCTGCAACTCCAGCAGCCCATAGTACCCGTCTGTGGCTTTAAGATCTAGGGTCTTGGGATTAAAGGTTTAGAGTCCAAGGGTTTAGGGTGTCGGCATTTAGGTGGTAGGATTTAGGACTCATCCAAAGGTTAAGAATTCGAGGCTGGTGCAGCATATGCGGATGCTTCTGGCCGTGACTGAGATGGATTGGTGCATGCGGACACTGAAGCACCGTTCGAGCAGAGCCAACATGCACACGGACATGGATAGATACATACACACCCACGCCGGTCGCAGAGGTCCGAAGCTTTTGTGTTCATCTCCTTTTTTTTGTTATCTCTCTCTCTCTCTCCCCTCTGTCTCGGTCTCGTCTTTCATCTGTTTGTGAACTGGTGGACAGTTTGCTGATCCTCACAAGCTCGTAAAGAGCGCAGTCTACTGTAAGCTGGTTAGCGGTGGTAGTGTGCCGGGTCGTGGAGGGTTTTGGCCCAGAAAGCCGTGCCGCAATGGACCCACACCTGTCACTGCAGCTTAAACTAAACCCCGAAGGCACCAATCGTAGCCGAGAACTAGGCCCTACTGCTCTGGCAGAGCCTAATGGTCAGGCATGGTCAGGTTATAGAGGTATATGGGTGGTGTTTGATTTAGGTTGCATTGCATGCCCAGAACTGCTTATTCTCCCTTAGGAGAGCAGGCTTCTGTGTCTTTGTAGTTGCAGAAGCACCATCGAGGAAATAGCAACTGTTTTCATAAGACTGAGAGTGAGCGCCGTCCAGATTGTATTACGGAGTCAAAGACCAGATCTAATCAACCGAAGTCGTCACGAGCATGGTGAACTCAAGCAGGTTCCTCTTGAGTCTTGGTAAGATATGTAACAGTCTCTAACAGTGGCATGTCTACGAGCAGTCGGCCTTGCAAGCGATTTCAACTGTGCCAGTCGTGGCCGCCGGCACAGCCGTCAATCTCTTGTTCCACTGGGCTGGATGGGTAGTTCTCTAAATTAGGGTCCCCTGTAGGTCCCCCCAAATAGTACGGCACCCTTCAACGGGATCCTAATTTGGAGAACTACCCAGGTTCTAAGCCCGACCGGGACCCAACGTCTCAAACTTTCATATCAAACCGTCAGAAGTCCTAGGGCCTAGCGCTTCAAGGTTTAGGGTTTAGGGCTAGGGTTTAGGGTTTGAAGCCTCTCCAGACCCCAACCCCCGAGCAACCGAAACCTTACGGTTCAGGTGAAGCAGCTGACGGACTCCGCTCGAATCAAGGTGATGAAGCTGAAAGGCACATGTTCAGCAGCTCCAGCAGTAGTTGTAGTAGTCGTAGTAGTAGTAGTAGTAGTAGTAGTAGTAGTCGTAGTCGTAGTCGTAGTCGTAGTCGTAGTCGTAGTCGCAGAAGCAGTAGCAGTGGTAGTCGTCGTCGTAGTAGTAGTAGTAGCAAC